ATTTAGAATATAAAATAAATTCTAATAAAAAATAAAAATATATATTTTAAAGATAGAATTAGTAATAGTAATAGTAAAATATTATATATATTTTAATAATTTTGTATTGTATATTTAAATAAAAATTATATTTTTTTTATTTTTTTAATAATTTTTTTTTCTTTTAAAACTTTTTAACTGCATTTTTTTATTTTTAGTTTCATTTCTATAATAAATATAAAATTGATTTTACTTTTAAATTTAAAGTTATTATATTTTAATAATAAATATTTTTACTAAATTAATGATATTAAAAAAAATATATATTTAATTAATAAAAAAAGTTATAAATGATTTAATTTATTTTATCTTCTGCTTTTAAACTAAGTCAAGCTCTTCTTAAATCTAAAAATAAATTATTATTAAATATATTAATTAATTTAATTTTTATATAATAATATTTAAATATTACTTACCAATATTAAGTTTTTTTTAATCATTACATAATTCCATTTTAGTTTAAAATGATTTTGGCTTAGTAAATTTTTTATTGGTAAATTTTGAGGAGCTTTAAAAAGATTTTGTTTAGGATTTTTATTATTAATCTTTCCTTTGTTATTTCTTTCAATCTTTTTTTTCAAAATCATTCATAATTTTTTTTAATCATAGATTGTTTTTGTTTTATCATTACTTTATGTAAATGATAAATAATACTATGTCTAATACTTTTAGTTAATATACAATTACTATGTAATAATAAATGATAATGAAATAATAAAATTTGTCCTGATTTTAAAGGTATTATAATATTAAATTAAGAAAAGCATAATTCATCTCCTTTATAATCTCTTAAAGCAATTAAAATACAAAAACTATTTTCTTCATTTTTTTCATCTCAATGAAAATCACTTATTGTGTTAAAATTAATAGCAATCATTAGAAAAATTCCAAAAGATCTTGGTGTAAATGAACCCCAAGAAAAATTGCTTAATTTTGTGTATAATTATTATAATTCTCTTTAACAAATTAATTAATACAATTTGATAATAGTTTAAGAGTAATGATTAATTTATTTACATATTCTAAATAATTTTGATTATGACTACTTGTCATTTTTGCACTAATATAAGGAAATTGATTATATGTTCTTTAAGTTTCAAAATATTTAGCCATATCATTCCAAAAAGAATCACTTCTATGTAATAGATTATCTAATGTATGAAAATAATAATCATTTACAGCTTTTGTAGCTTGTAAAATAGCATTATTATTATTAATGCTATTTAAATGTATTAAAGTTTGATTATTTTAATCTATAATATATTCAGATTTTGATAATTTTTAATTTGTATAAGTAGCATATATTAAAATTATATATGACTATTAAATTTAATAAATATTATTAATTTTATGAATTAATGCTAAATTATAATTATATAAAATTATTTTAATAGTTTTAAATATATTTTTATAAAACTTTTTATAATTTAATTATATATTCATTAATAATTAAAGAAATTATTAGTAAAAAAGTTAAATGTAATAGTATTAACAAATTAAAACAATATGCTTTTTTAAAATAAAAAATAAAGATAAATTTCTAAAAAATTTTTTATAATAAAATAAAGTTTTACTATTCATCATTACAATCCATTTGAGAATCAAGAATATTAGAAGAGATTTGAATTAAAGAATCAGGGAAATTTGGTAAGATAGTTATTTGAGTATTATCATATTCTAGAAATCTTAAAGAATTAGGTAAAGTTGGTAAGCTATTTAGATTATTATCATTACATCAAAGACTTATTAAGAAATTAGGTAAAGTTGATAAACTAGTTATTTTTATTTTATAACAAATAAGTGTTATTAAGGAATCAGATAAAGTTGGTAATCTTGTGATTTGAGTTTCATAGTAATAAATATATGTTAAGGAATTAGGTAGAGTTGGTAAGCCAGTTATTTGAATATTATAGCAACATAAGTCTGTTAAGAAATTTGGTAAATTTGGTAAGCTAGTTATTTGTATAAAGGAGCAGTTAAGTTTTATTAAGGAATTAGGTAGAGTTGGTAAGCTAGTTATTCGTGCATAAGAACAGTTGAGTGCTGTTAAGAAATTAGGTAAATTTGGTAAGCTAGTTATTTGTATAGATAAACAGTCAAGTTTTATTAAGGAATTAGGTAGAGTTGGCAAGCCAGTTATTTGAGTTCCAGAGCAATCTAAGTTCGTTAAGGAATTAGGTAAAGTTGGTAAGCTAGTTATTTTAGCATAATTACAGTTAAGAGTTATTAAGGAGTTGGGTAAAGTAGGTAAGTTTAAATTAGAGCGTAAGAATAGTTCTTTTAAAGAATTAGGTAAAGTTAGTGAGATAGTTAGGTTAGTATGTGAGTAGTCAAGAATTATTAAGGAGTTAGGTAAGGTTGGTAAGCAAGTTATTTTAGTACGACTGCAATAGAATTGTGTTAAGGAGGTAGGTAAAGTTGGTATGCTATTTATTGGAGCATAAGAGCAATTAAGATAAGTTAAGGAATTTCGTAATATTGGTAAATTAAATATTGAGACTCAGAACAATTAAGAAAAGTTAAAAAGGTTGATAATGTTGGTAAGCTAGTTATTTGAGTGTTAGAGCAATCGAGTTCTGTCAAGGAGTTAGGTAACATTGGTAAGCTAGTTATTTCAGTTAAATTGCAATCGAGTTTCGTTAAAGAGTCAGGTAACATTGGTAAGCTAGTTATTTCAGTTGCATTGCAAATGAGTTTCGTTAAAGAGTCAGGTAATATTGGCAGGCTAGTTATTTGAGATCCATCACAAATGAGTTCCGTTATTGTGCTAGGTAATGTTGGTAAGCTAGTTATTTGGGAATGGTTGCAATCGAGTTTTGTTAATTTTCGATATTTTTTCAGTCCACCAAAGGAGTTTAATATGTCATCCTTATTTGCATTTGTTATAGTTAAACTATCAATCGTATCATCATATATGATTAATTCAAGATTTTGATTCTTTCTTCTAATTCATTAATAATTTCTTGTTTGGCATTGGGTAATTCATCTTGTTCTCTAACATTTCTAATAGTTTCTTGCTTGACTTTGATTTCCTCTTCCCGAGCTTTAACCTTTTCTTTTAAATAGTTGAATTGTGAGCGTAAATCTTCATTACTCTGCTCTAATTCCTTAATTCTAACTTCAAATTCTTTTAGGGATTTTTCTAGATTGTTATTTAAAAATATTTCTGTGAATAATTTGGTTAATTTATTCTAGTGATTATTGTAATAAGTGATTCTACTATAGTTCTTTGTCGTTTATCTATTTATTTGTCAAATTTTTATAATGTGTTTACTTGACAAGAAAATAAACAGAGAGTTTTTTTTTAACCTGCCATTTTTTTTTCAGCCCTGCCCTTGTTTACTAATTGTAATGAATTTCCATAAATAACTTAACCGAATCGACAGTGATATTGTCTTGCCAAATTAAGTTATTTCAATAAAAAAAAATTTACCGAGGGCTTACAAAAAAATTTTTGAAAAATATAGAACTGGATTAATCAGGATGAATATTTATTTAAAGATTTTTATAAATTAACCGTCGACCATCGGGATAAATATGAAAAAAAAATAAAAAAAATTTTTTACATTAAATTTGATATTTGTTTTAAGTGAATTTTCTCAATATTCAGAGACGTAAATGTCAAAATAACGTTGCTGATTCACGAACAAAATCTATGTCTGACGATATGACTGCAATAATATTGTTATAAGGCGGGAAGTAATTATTGAAATGCTTAACATAGCTCACTTTAAATATTAATTCTCAGGATTAGTCTCAAAGACGTAGATCTTTTTTGTAAACTTTCAATTCAGTTTAATGGACTTCAATTTTCAAATTCAATAAATATTATTAGCTGAAATTTAAACTTCTTTAAATTTATTGATAACAGATTATGTCATTTTTTGATTTGATTTTGCCATTACAAAGAATTGCTCATAATTTATATCATTAAAGGAGTTAATTGATAACAACGATGATGCAAATAGATAGACGTAACGTAATTTACAATAAGTTCTGTAAGTTGGTGACGAAAGCAAAATAGTAGTAACGAAACAATATATGCACAATTTGCAATAAACTATTATTTTCTAATTTAAGAACAATTTGCGCAATGAAGAATATTTGTTCTGCGTGATGATATGTAATGATTACTTTAATCGATCAACAAGAATTTATCCGTTCCGGCTTTATTACTCCTAATAAAGTAAGTTAACAACAAATATGAAAAAATAAACTTTAGATGTTTCAAGATTAGGTTATCTTCGTCTTTTTTTGTTTATTTATTTAATCACATTTTACATATTACACCAGATGAATAAGTTAATTAATTAATAGATTATATAAATAACATTGATAACACTAATAAACTATGTAACATAATAAACGGAGGCATTAATGATGATCCATCATTTGGTCTAAAAAAAAAAATTAATAATAGAATTTATGTAAATAATTTTTTTTATAAATAAAAAAAAAACAATACTTACGGAGGTGCACCATAAGTAACGCCCAATTTATTACATTCTTCTTTAAATTTATCAAGCGGTGCAACAGTTATACTATTCATTGGAGTAGCAAAGCACATCATATAACTTTTTAGTTGTTCATAAAATTTATCATTACACATGCAAGGCGCCAACTTTGGATCTAAATTTTTTTTAAAGAAAAATAAATTAAATATATTTTTTTTAATTGAAGAAAAACTTTAGAGCATACCATTTGGACTATAACTTCCAGAATTTGTCGATTTGGGTGGTGGACTAAATTCTTCTCTACAAATTGTCAATGTTTCATTGACAGCTTTACAAGGATCATTAGGAGTATTACAATCTTTTTTAGGAGCGGGTCTAAACATAAAGTATTAAATTATAATTTGAGCAAAGAAAAATTTCGATGTAAAAATAATTTTTGTATTTACGTTTGTGGATTTTGTTTTGGCGTTAGTGGTGTTGGTGGTGATGATGGTGCTGGAGATTTAGCTGGAGTTTTAAGCGGACTTTTAATATTATTAAGTTATAAATTTTTATTAGAATTAAATGACGTTTAAATTTGTGTTTAAGCTAATGAATATTTCCAGACTTACGTTGCTTGTGTTTTACCAGGTGCTTTACTGCAATTTAATGAGAAATTAAATTATGAGTTTAGGATTCTTTGGAGAAATACTTTAAATAACTTACAATGGATTATTAACATCATAGCCTTTATTGAGACAAATATTCGAAAAAGTTTCAAAAGAAACTACTGTGATATCAATTCCCAGACCTTGATAGCATGAAACGCAGCCAGCAACTAAATCATAAAATTTAGCGGTACAAGCACATTTATATATGCCCAAATTTGCAGTTTCTAAATAATTTATTAAGCAATAAATTAATTTTTAATTTTGAAAACAAAAAAAAATAATTTTAACTGGATTTGTTATATGTTACTCACTACTAACAGTAAGTGAGAACTTGAATAGTTCAGCACTACTCAATGCTGCAGGAGGTATTGGAGGAAGTTGTCCATTACATGGTTCTAATGTTGCGTTTGCCCGATTACATGGATCATTTATACCATTACCACAATTCGGGTCCATTTGACCATAAACATTAACCGAAAAGAATTGTACCATAAGAATCATTAAAATTAATGACCGCATCATTTTCTTCAACATGAAAAATAAATAAAATTCAAAGTTTTTTTTATTTAAAAAAAGGAAATGCGATCAACAATTCACGCAAAATAGGCGTTATATTTATTAAGTATTTGTTTTATGTTGTACTTAAAAAGGGATTATAAAAGCGCGTGTTCAAAAAAAATATTTTTTTCGTATAATGTTGTTTAATGGATGTCGTGCTCAAAGAATTTTGGTATCATGAAATTTTTGTTAACTTGTGCCGTAAACGCCATCAAAAAAAGGAATTTAAAATATCAATCAATGTTTTGACCAGCAAGGAGATAAAATTTCCGAGAAAATAAAAATGTATTAATGATGAATTCTTCTGAAAAATATAATCTCAAGTTTACTAATTTTTTGATTTTTCGCAGTTTATCTATTGCAGATGGGCTCATATGCATTAAACATAAAGAATATTTGATAAATAACGAGAATTTCTGGCGTAATTTCAAAAATCTAATTGACGTTAACAAATGTGTATCATCTAATGAATAAAGTTACGTCATACAGAATAACGAAATCAGCTGAACCACCATTATTATGTTATAGATTAGTTAGTTTTAAAGCTCATTTTAAAAAAAATTTCTAACACTTTTTTATTATTGATATATTAAACTTCTCGTTCTGATTAATTCTTCATCATCAACGATAACAGAAAATAACAACAGAAACAGCAACAGTACTAGCAACAACCATTACGAATATCATCACAAACACAACCACCACAACCACCATTACCAACAATTCTTCAAAATTTCAAAAAAAAATCTATATAACCATGCTGTTGATCACCTTGCCAAAGCCGACGAACCTATTTTTAAAGTCAATCAATCTTCATTTAGTCTTTCGTTCTCCCTACATTTTGGTGTTCATTCATTACACTTGTACTTTAGACTTAAAAAAAAATTTTCAAAAAAATTTTTTTATTATTACAAAATATATGTTAAATATTAATTTTACAAATTAAATTTTTTAATTAATACAAGTAATAATATCATTTAAATTTATTAATAGAATTAAAATATTAATAAAGTTACAGAATTAATAATAATAAATAAAATTATAATTTAAAAATTTATTGCTTTAGAAAATTGAATAAACTTATTTTTCACATCCCAGTATTGATTTCTCAAATTAAAAATTGATGACGAGTTATTTTACTTAAATAATCGTAAATATCTAACAAATTAATAATTTGTTAACTTATCAACTCAACTATACTTCATATCAAACATAATCATATAATGTTTATGATTAAGCTAATTTAAAATTCTATAAATTAATAGTTTAAATAAATCTTTGAATTGAAATATTATAAAAGTTTAAAAAAAAATTTAAACATTAGAGGTTTTTTTTTTTTAAAAAAAAATTTTATTTTATATATAATATTTATTATACTAATTACAAATCTAAATTAATGGAATATTATGCTATGTTATTAAAACTATATAAATTATAAATAATAATAATAAAAAATAATAAATATTTATCCTTCTTGAAACTTACTTTTAAAGCTTAAAAATCTATAATATGTAAAATAGAAAAAAGAAATGTGATTATAATATTTATAATATTCTTAAATAAAAAATTTCTAAAATTCTCATTTATAATAATTCAAAATCTGTTCAAAGGATTATTTTAAAAATAAAAGATAAATTATTAATAATATTTATAATTCTAATTCTAATGCTAATTTATCATTAATATTTTTTTTTAAAAATCTTAATAAAGTAATATTCAAAAATTAAGGCAGAATTTGAAAAAAAAATTAATACAAATTTGAAAAAATAATAATAATAATATAAAGTTTAAAAAGTATAATAATGTAAAATTTAAAAGTATAATAGAATAATTTTAAAAAAATTTTATAATTTGAAATTCAATATTTTAAAGTAAAGTTTAAAAAAAAATTATAATATAAAATTCAAAATTTTTAAAAATTTTAAAGATAGAATTTAAAACATAAGAATTTAAAATTTTTTTAAAAAAAATATATATAATAATGTAAAATTTTAATAATTGAAACAGAATTTAAAATAATTAATTTTTTTTTCTTATTTTTTAAAAACTAATTAATAAAATAATTTACATTTAATTATGTAAAAAATTAATTAAATAAGATAAAATTCTAATATTTATTTAATTAATAATTTATACATCTTATAAAATATATTTTTATATTAATTATTTTGATTAATTAAATTAAAAATATCATTTTTATTTTTTTTTTATTTGAATTGATTCTGATTAATATTTTATAATATTAACTTTTAATATTTTAATCTATTAAATATTATTAAAAAAAAATAATTTAAATTAATATTAAAATAAATTTAATTACTTAAATTATAATATAATATTATATAATATATATAAAATATATAAAATTATAATATGAAATTGATTAAAAATATATATATATTATATATATAATACTTCTTACTTTTTAATGCAAAGTACTTATATAAATTATAATTTTAGTATACATATTTATAAATTATCAAAATGTAATCTTTGCTTAATATTTTGAATATAAATAACTTTTAAGATTTTTGATATTTTAATATAATAGAAATTAGAAATATTTAATTAGAATTCTACTAATTTTCTAAATTTTCAAGCAAATTAATAATAATAATAATTAAAGTGAAGATATATAAATATCAAAGCTTTGTTCATTATTTTGCAATTTATTTACATCAATTTAAAAAACATCAAAAAAGAATTTATGATATTCAAATATATATTTTATTAACTATTTTTAAATTTAATAACTTATAACAATTAAAACTATATATAATAATTATGACATAAATCTGGAAAATAAATTAATAATTTTATAATTGAAAATTCTAAAACTATGTATATATAAATGAGATGAATGTCTTTTACTTCTTATTTCTTGATGAAACTTAATAATTACACTATTTAAAAGGCTCTTAATAGCTGAACTAACTTAACGTTTTGATTTTCAGAATTTTGATATGAAAATTTCATTGAATTGCTTCATTAGTATTTCATATCTACTATTATTACATAGTCCATTAGGATTGTGCGGAATTTAATGTACTGATATTTTTTAATCATATCTGATATAATATTGTTTTTTAATGGGTTATATCAGTCAAAGACTGATATTTTAACATCACATTCAATAACATATAATTATTTTTTTCTTTATATGGAAAGAAATTTGAAGATTGAAAGATAATTAATGAAATTTTATAGAAGCCTAAGGTGTTTCATTATGTTATTAATGTTACTCTTTCCATTGAATAAGTTAACTATGATTTGAAGTCAGAGAGACAATAGCTATGACTTAAATCCAATCAACTTGACACGTTGTTTATTAGAGAGTTTATTTAGTTAACAAGAATAAAATTATAAGTTTTATGTTTGCAAAATGTTAAGAATGTTTATTATTGTTAAATGTATATTGAATACAATATTAAGAACTTGTTAGAATCTGTTGGAATCTATTAGAATCTGTCCTTTTTCTAAGGCATTTTCATGTCCTTTATATAAGAAAATTACAATTAAAGAAAATCTATGATAGATATGATACTACTGACAATAATAACAGAGCTAACAGATATGTTAATTATGTTAAATATATAATAAATGATATAAATAATAGATATAATAAAGATATAATAAATGATATTCATATTCTATTTGACAGATTTAGCAGATCTGGCATATTTGACATATATGTCATATTCAACAGGTCTGTCAGTTTCTGCCGGTTTCAACACCAAAGATACTACCAGAAACACCATTACTTTTGAAAGAGTCCGTGACATGACTACCTTTTATATTTACTGCATTGCAGAAACTTTTCTTCTGAATAAATCCTTTAGAGAAAAAACTAACAAAGCCTGTGAACTCTTCAATGACGCAGCATTCCCATCATTCATTAGTGCATCCATCAAACCAGACCCTACAAATAAAACGTTAAAAATAGTCCGTTTAGGCTTCATAACTCGAGATGATACCAATCGTGCTATGGCTGCAAAAATTCTCAATATAGACAACATCACGTTTATACTTCTTGTTACACCTGCCCTATTTAAATTTGATCTGAGTCTGTCGATCAAGGTTACAGAAATCTTGATCTCCACTTCAGAGCAGATCATCTGATCTACGTTTGCTCAATTCAGTACGATTACCAAATGCATAATGATGACGAAAAACCTTTGACAGCAAGTGACTATTTCATATGCTTCTAAGACAAACTTATCCTTTTTTAACTCTCATGTTGGCATTTTCATTTTGAAAGACATGGTCAAAGTACATGTTAGTTCCCTTACAACTGAAAAAATAAAAGCTCATTTCCAATTCACGTTAAAACTGACAAACTTTTCTAAGGATACTACTGGTAGAGAATTAGAGCCTATTGGTAAAGCAGTTAATGCTATAACATAGGTGATTCCTAAAACACGATCAAATTATAGAAATCTCCAATATGCCTTTATATACTTCAATAATAAAGAAGATCTCAAAGCGGCAAAAAGTGAAGACCCCATTAAGTTTGATAATAGGAAACTTATCTGAACTGCATTTGATACTACCTATGTGTACATTGCTCTATTCCTGAGCATGACTCAAGAAACTGTAGACGCAAACGACCTACTCCTAAAGATAGATAAACCCAAAATCTCTACTAATGTTATAAGCCTACGCAATTTAAAAATTATTTAGCATCTGCGCCTCACCCTAAGGTCACATTCGTATATGATCAAGAGATAATATTTGATCCAAAAAATCCACGCTCGTTTGCAAATAGAATCAAGGATGTCAAACTTCTAGTTAAAACTCCCTCTACACGACCCAATGAACATAAATTATCAAAGAATAAATCCTCTTTTAACAATTCAATCTACATGCAGAAATCGTGATCAGAATAAATAGACAAAGCAGATGTATCTCACCGATCACCTTAAACACCTACACAC